CGTCTCCAACGCCTTCCAAAGGGCACCCTTCCTGACTGGGACACCAACGCCCACGCATGACATACCCGCCCCGCTATCTCACCGCCCACCCACTCACGCTCTCACGCAACTTGAGTCCTCCCCAGCATGGTGTTAACAACAATTCATCAAGGCAAGATGGCCGAGCGGTCTAAGGCGCTAGCTTCAGGTGCTAGTCAAGTAATTGGCGTGGGTTCGAATCCCACTCTTGTCACTGTATTAGGCGAAAGTCTACCCTTTTGCATTTTACCGATTTTATTTCGTATTTTTGTCATCGGAGAACCTCAGCTTGAAAACCTCTTCTTTTTTTTTGTGCTGATTTGTGTGGCGCTGGCGGGGTAAATTCTGGGTTGTGGCTTGGGGATGGCGGGGGTGGCTTTGCGATACCCTTTCTCAAACCTCACCTCTCTCATTTGTGGACTTGAGGTTTCGGAGGAAGTGGTGGAAAACGAGGCTTTTCTCTGGGAAGAGGATTCTACAAGCTGAATGAACGATTGATTTCCTTTATTGTGCCCAAGAAACTGGGTGCTGCAAAACTGAGGGGATGTTTGCAAGTACAATCGTCCTCCTCTTGCGGGCAGGTTCATACTGTAGATGTTCAGTACAGCCAGCCACCTTTAGATTCTGGCATGTCACGTCTGAGAAGAAAATGCACGTTGTTATATGAAATCATAGAAAGACCAAATTTGATTCGCCAACGTACTACAACACCGGCGCTACTCAAAACATAAATCTTCCAAAATTAACAAGTTGCGCGCTTATAACTGCAAGGGCCAACTAACAACCAACTCGAAAGACATCCAATGATCACGAGAAAACATTAGCATCAGCATGACTACATCCCAAAAAGTCTCACACTTTCATCTCATCCAAAAACAGCAAAACGCATATGCACACACTGAGCTGAAAAACAGAACCAGAAACAGAAAGACAGGCACCGAAGATGCACCGGGCAATGCAGATAGATCCAACCGAGATTCTCACTGATCGACGAGACACATACACACATATACGGGCGCACATGCGCGCGTAAGACACACTATCCTGACATCAAGCCAAAGATGGGAAACAGCCAATTCAGGCAAGGCCGAACCTTACCTATCTAGACCAAGATGGATGGACTATCGTAGTCCAGCTTTCAAGAGGAGGCGGAGGGGGAGGTACCAGGCTGCGTCTGCGACTGCAGAGCCTCGACGAGAGCAGTGAGCTTATCAATCTTGTCAGTGAGCTCCGAGATGCGCACCTCAACCACGGAGGGCGCGTCCATGTCGTCCGCGGCCTCGACGGCGCGGGTCTGCGGGCGCGACGAGTGGTGCGAGGAAGGATGGTTGTTGCGCTCCGTGGGGCGCGGGGACCTCCCACTGGCGCGGTATCCCGACGAAGGGCGGTTCGCCTGGAAGACGCCGAGGGAGCGCTGCTTCGTGGCGCCAGTGAGGCCGCGGGGTCCCTTGAAGCCGGCGTACTCGTCCGAGTGGACGCGGCTGCGGATGCTCTCGTAGAGCTGGATCATGCCGACGATGGGGAGGTGGGTGGCCTTGAGGAGGATGATGCGGCCGTGACGGAACTTGTCGTCGGAGGGGAGGAAGAGGCGGAGCGGGCGGAAGATGACGAGAGCGATGAGGTTGAAGGGAGGGTAGAAGTGGGTGAGGCGGTTGCTGGTCGAGGCCTCGAGGACGTAAACGCTGTAGACGTAGAGGTACTCCTCGCGGGCGTGGGTGATTACGCGGGAGAAGGAGTTGGAGAGCATACCGGTCAGGGAGCCCATGAGGAGGAAGGAGGAGAGGATGATGAACATGATCATGAGAGGGGGCCCAAAGACTTTATCGATGTCGTCCATGATTTCGATGCCGACGTAGGAGGAGCCGAAGAAGATCTTTGTGAGGATCATGGTCATGTGGGAAAAGGTGTAGGCGTCCTGGCCGATGAGGGAGAAGGTGGTGAGGAAGCCGAGGTAGATGATGACGACGAGGACCATGAATTTGATGAAATCCTTGCTCATTTCCTTGAGGCAGGGGATGAGGGTTCCCCAGTAGGGCGACAAGCTGAGGAGGGAGAACACGCGTGGGACCATGAACAGAGCCTCCAGAGCAAAGACGTTGAAGGCAGTGTCGGTCATCTTCATGTCGTGGTTCGCAATACCGATAACCCCTGTGATGGTGTGTTAGTTCGTTGCGTGGTTAAGATAGTGGGAGCAGGGAGTTGCTTACGCAGAACGGCAAAGGTGATACCGATGCCTATCATGATCATGTCAAACAGGTTCCAAATATCCGTGGCATAGAAGATGGTTCCGGCATCGGCCCACTCGCTGAGCTCATCGTAGAGGAAAGCAGCGAGCCAAACGTACAGGACGATTTCGTTGTGGGTGATGCGCTCGGTGTTCTGGGTGACGAGCACGGAGTAGTACAGGCACAGGAAGATAAAGAAGAAGAAGGCCTCCCAGAACTTGAGGTACTTGGGCACGCGCAGGCGGGAAAAGATGTCGGTGGTGTGGGCGTTGTAGAAGCGGGGCTTCTTCTCGGCGTGGACAGACAGGCTGTCCCAGAAGATGATGTCGCCGTTCCAGATGCCCGTGACAATCTTCTGCACGACGTGCTGGCTCAGGAAACGCTTGGCGTCGGCAACGGCGGCGATCTCGAGGGCGTTGAGGTTGGTAAAGGGCGAGGTCGGATCGTCCTCTTCCTCTTCGTCCTGGTCGGCGTGCATGCTCATGGTGAGCCTGGACAGGGAGGACAAGAGCTGGTAGCGCTTGGCGCTGCTTCCCGGGCGGACGGAGGCACGACGGCTGCCGCTGCGGTTGGACCAGCTGCCGCCGGAGAGCAGAGGGGAGTTTTCATTGCTCTCGAGATCCGCGTTAGGCGGCGGGGTGGCCGGCTCCTTGGGGTCGGGGATCTCGTAAAGGCAGAAATCGACGGCCTCGCGCTCCGAGAGGCGGGTGAGGAAGCGCCAGGCGACAATCTCACAGGCGTTGGCGCGGGCTTCGCAGAGGCCTTTGTTGGACTCGGCCTCGTCTACGGCATAGTGCCATTTCAATGCACTGGAATGTGTTAGAAACGGGGCTGGTGTATGGCCATTTTACTACTTGAATTACTCTGGAGAGTATAGCAGATGTGAGGCATGGGGAATTGACTTACAGAAGGGCGTTGACGATGGCCCGGTTAGTGCAGGTGGCATTCAAGTGATCGACCAAGACTCGCAACGGCTCACCGGCCTGGGTGGTGCGCAGCTGCTCAAAGGTGCTCGGCAGCACAATGACATCGGTGAAGTATCTAGACCGGATCCGTCAAGTCAGCAAAAACTCGGTCAACCATTTTCCGCCCAGAGGCGGCGGGAGAGCATCGCCGCTCTCAATGGGGCCCAAATCTTATGAGACGACGGGGCGCAAAACTTACACGGAGAGCTTCTTGACGACCTCGCGGAAGGTATCGTCCGTGTCAATGTCGGGCAGCTCAAACGTGTCAAAGTGCATGGACACGGGGCTCATGTCCCGGGACTTTGGCATTTTCTTGGACTTGACGCGAATAGGCATCTTGGCTGGTGCTTACTCGGTGCCTGTCTTTCGTGTGTGTGCAACGCGATCCTGCAGCAGAGATGCAACTTGGATTGGCCAATGGGGCTAGCTGTGAGAAAAGATGCCTCCTTTTTTGCGGTGGTCAGCAATTCAGGGTCGCCAAGCGGTCAGCGCGCCGTGGTTGATCTGGTTGTCAGGTCTAAAGGTATGCCGCGTAATTTCTCACTTGCAGCTGCGGAAGCAAACGAGCAACGGCAACGACATGCAGTAGCAGCAAGCAGAAGATCCCAACTCAGCCACGGTTGCAAGCGCGAGACGAGGCGGTCAACAGAGAGAGAGAGAGAAAAAAACAGGATGCTGAGAAGCGGTCGGCCGAGGACGAAGATAGCTGAGCTTCTCTAACTAGTGTCAAAGTGGAGTGCGACGGGAGGTCTTTGCGGCGCAGAACAGGGGTAAAGTGGACCCTGTTTTTACTGGAAACGAGGAACTTTAGTGGAGACCTGCGCGGGGTCGGATCAACTGACTGCCATTGGCCCGTGCAGGTGTCTCCGTCTGTATAGGGTCTAGCGTTGGTACACAGTACCTTGGGTGAGGTGAGCAGCTTCTTTGCTAAGAATAAAAAAAGCTTCGCCTTCTGCACATCGCCAGGAACATCACACAGTTTGTGACGCCAGCTACTTGAGCTTATCAACGGCATCATTTCTTCTTGGTCCCATAGTGAGACTATTCTTCATACAAGATACACCTAGTGAGACATGACCCAAGATCGTACAGTCCACAGTGCCAAGTGAATGCCTCATAATCGCAAGAGGCGGTTGATGCCAAGCTCATTACGGCATCCATTCCTCGATTTATGTTACGTTTTCGTGGCATTCGCGATGGACCCTTCTCTCACCAGGCCACACCTGGCTTCCAATCGTCCACTCGTAAGCCAGAGAAATTTCGAAATAGGCAAGTGAGCTTCTGGCCGTACCCACCAAATAGGCTTGTCTCTGCTATCGATCTACACATCTTTTGTTCCTGGACGCCTTGTGCACGTGTTGAGCTTCGCCGTGGACCTGCTTCAGCACTAGAGATGCAGCGTCTCTAACAGAGCCGCGTCACGGTGGTGGATGAGCCAGCCGCCAAATTGCGGAACGTTATCAGTCATTAGGCTGGCTGAGCTTAAGAACTTTGGCATTTACGCCCCAATCAACCGGAACTTTGGTGCTCTACCGAGCCCAATTGGTGGCTGCCTAGCTTCTCGAAGGATTCATGGGGCTTTTCGTCCAGTGACGCGGCACGGCGCTGTAGTAACGAAGCAAGCCAATACCAAAGTCCCAGAACTGAGCCTCATTCTGCATTTCGTGATGAATGTCATGCCGCACAGCGAACGCTCGTGGAGGAAGTGGGATATAATATCCACGACTTCAGACGTGAGTTCGGACGGATTAAGATAACAAGCTTCCACACACAACTCATTGGTAGAAAAACCATGGCTACACCAACATCTACTAGTGCGACTACCGCGAGCGTGACTTCGTCCGACTCGTTGCCATCATGCACAACGGCAGTCCCGGGCAAGTACGGACACGTCCCGATCGACGCCTGCAACTCGTACTATGCCTTTGACCCCAGCTTTGAAGGCAACATCGCATTTGCCGTTCTCTTTGGCCTGTCGTTTGTCGCGCACATTACCCAAGCCATTCTTTATAGAAAGGTACGCAATGCTGCTCGTCCTCAATTTCAAATAGCTTCAAAACTAACACCGAGACAGAGATTCTGCTGGGTTCTTTGCGTCGGCGCGTCGTGGGAACTGATAGCCTTCATCCTTCGATCCCTCGGCGCCAGAGACCAACAGCAGATGGGTTACCAGATTGGCGGGCAGCTCTTGTTCCTACTTGCTCCACTATGTAGGTTTCTTCCCACATCGCTTCGTATCAGATCTGCGCGACGAAAATCCACAGGCCAAGTTTGAAAGAAGCTGACGCCGTCCAGGGATCAATGCATTCGCCTACATGCTCTCGGCCAGACTCGTGTACTTCGTCCTGCCCGACCAGCGCGTGTTCCGCGTCAAAGCGACGGCCCTCACCAAGATCTTTGTGACAATGGATGTCGTCTGCTTCCTGGTGCAAGGGGCGGGCGGCGCGATGATGTCCAACACGGAGGCGGCATCGGACGACCCCATCCTGCGGACCGGCAAGCAGGTGTACATGATTGGGTGCGGCTTGCAGCTCGCTTTTATTGTCGTCTTTTGCGGGCTCATCGGTCGCTTCTACGTCAAGATGAGGCGGGCACAAAGATTCGACCTCGACTTGAAACGGATCGGGGCCATGGTGTTGGTGATGTTTGCGGTGTTGATTCTCATCATTGTGAGTTCTTTTCTTAGTCGCCTCCTTACCTACTCACCCACCCACCCCTGCATGACAGAACATGTTTGACAAGAAGACGGGATGAACGGACTGAGCTGACACTTATTCTTTCTTCGCGGAGATCCGGATCATCTTTCGGTTGGTCGAGTTCGGACCGGGGGCGAACATGAACAACCCGATTCTGACAAACGAGAACTACGCGTTCGGGCTCGACGCACTGCCGATGGTGCTCGCGCTCGTGTTGCTCAACGCTGTGCATCCGGGTATCGTGCTCAGGGGCGAGAACAGCGAGTTCCCTCGGCTGTCGATGAAGGAGAAGAAGCAGGTGAAGCTAGAGAGGAAGGCTGCCAAGAGGGAGTCCAAGCTGGCCAAGAATGCAGCAAGGGAGCAGAAGAAGAAGGAGAAGGCGGCGGGCTTGGAGGTGGATAGTGAGGGTGACTATGTTGCCATGGAGGAGAGACCGTTGGCGGCGGATGAATATGACAGCGATGACAGGACTGGCGCTAGGGGAAGCCATCATGTCTAGAGGGGAACAAGGCAGCTGCTCTTCCGAGCCAAGGTACACTTGTCTTGGACAGTGGCATCATGTGTAAAATCAGTGTAGCGTAGACTAGCTCGGGCGTTTTGGCAGTTTAGATGGAGTACTGATGTGTCCGAGGACACGCTTCTTACCTGCCTTGGGTACCTATCTGATTCACTTTGACACCAGTCGGACTCTTGGGAATATCGTCATGAAACAACACAGCGTTGCTTCTGAGATGCATGCATGAATGGAATGGACTGCGTGTGCAGTATGTCGGCACATCTGTTCTCTGAATCTTGAGCGAGTAATCACAAGTGAAGCTTTGGAGGGTTGTGATAAGTTCATCGCACTTCAGGTTTGGATGATGATGCTGCTGCTGCTGCTGCCGCGAGTTCAAAAGGCGCAAGGGAACCTTAGTTGGTGTTCCTCTCCCGTCATGTAGTGGGGTGTGGACGTACCGTGAGACCCTGATTAGGTAAGGTGGTAAGATATCCCGTACCTGTTTCGACGATTCGACAGCATCGCCACGGGGATCCACCCGGCGCGGGAATTAGCGCGTGTTAAAAAAAGCACCATGACTGCCGCCAGCCTGCGATCACCGGACACTGTGCTACTGTGCTCTTGCTGCAAGAACTATGTGGCAATACGGTGCGAATTCATTATGTAATGTCCGGAGGATCTGGCTTGGTGGAGGCAGCGCAAACAAGCGAGGACGAACGCGCCTCGACGGCCCCTGCTTTCTGGCCCAAACCCACTTCCTTCCAACGATCCAACGATCCAACTCCATTTCTCCCGTTGGGTCCCTAACTCCTTCAATATCCCCCATCGAATGACTTCTTCCACGATTTCTTCTCTCATCCCTGTCCATTTGAACTCGAACGGTCAAACCAACATGCAGGTTTGACTAGTTGGGCGTCCCTCGAAAGAACAAAGGACCATGGAAAGAAAGACCAACAGCCGCCCCCAAGATCGTTCCGGACCATGATGACGAGAAAGAGAGGGGGAGGGCGGGGCCAAGCTACAACCTCAAAGTTCCAACAGAGGAGAAACAGCAGCTTTGGCATCTTGGGGGCCAGCCGCTGTCTTGTGCCTGTATGATCTGTATCACCTCCTGCAGAGGACACGGGAGCCATGCGCAGAAGTCTGCAGCCGGGGGCGCAGCGAGCGTCGAGCGAGCCCAACCAGACGATCACTCTATCACGAACCACAACCGGGCCTCCCGTCATGTCTTATTGTTTCCCCATCGCGCAATTAGAATCATACTCAGACCAGCTCAGGTCAGGCCAGTCGAAAACCGTGAGCGACTCGCTCGGCCGGTAGGTGGGCAGAAGCAAATTGCGAGCGAAAAAAAAGTTCCCAAAGCTTTCCGCCTGTTCCTGGTGTCCCTTCTTCTTCTTCTTAGTTCCCGTCTGCCAATCCTTCTTTTCTTACGTAGCACCCGTAGCTCGACTCACTAGCATCACCTCGCACTCTCACCGGCACCGAGCCTCCTTCGCCTTTCTGCTGCCTGCGCGGTTCTCAGATCCGCACGGACTGGTCCCGGGCGGGCGCTTGTCTCTCATCGCCACGGTACACGGCAGAAACGTCCCCTTCCAAAGAGGCCCCAAAGGCCCCAGTGATCCCAAGAGATCTTCAGACCCCCGGTAACGCCCCGAGCGGTGCGAATCTGCGGCCTGTAGTACGACGGTAAAGCATGCTTTCTTGTTGCATTTGGGGCCCTGGAGGGGCGGCTGCCCCCTCTTCCCCTTCTTCTCTCGAGTGAGGGTCGAATCTTGGTATGCTCACGATCGGAGGATCCTTGAAACACGGCTCCCCAATCAGCGTCAGCCTCGTTGGCGTCGCCCCCCGGGGGCCCGGAGGATGAACACCCCCCTCCTCCACCCTCTACAGGTCCCTGTTCCGATCTAAATTACACTCCCTCGCCCAATCCCTCGTCTGCATCAGTTTCTTCTTTCTCATTCTTTTCCTGTTTTGCCTATCCTGGTCCCTTTTTACTCATCACTCTAGATTTTACGTCTCCTTCTCCTAGTCTCTTTTGTCTCTTTGCTCTGTTATTAATTATATGGATACCATTGAGCAACATCCCTCGTCATAACTCATCCCATTCTTCAGCGGAGGTCACCTTTTGGAACACGGAAAAGGAACGGAAGTCCCAGGAAGGGTCGAGCTAGGAGTAAGAAGACGATCTCGCAGTGTTACGCACCTACAACAAGATGTTGTTGAACGACTGCTTCGCGCGGCTACCGCCTACCGCCGCGATACTGCTTCTCTCGAATATCTTCGCCCTGACCGAAGCCGGTGCTCTTCCCCGCCAAACAGAGCAACCTCAAGCTCACATTGCCTACCGCACACTGGACGTCCGTAACTGGCCGCTGGCAACACCGGCGCCATGGCTGGGTATTATGAGGAGGCAGGACGACAGCACAAACACAGTCTGTGGCTACCTAGGCGGTGACCCAAATCTGCCGGCGACATGCTCTGCTGGTTCCCACTGCGCCATGGACGCTTCCGTCTCGGCCATCGGCTGCTGCCCGAACGGCGCCGCCTGTACCACGGGTGTCTACACGAGCTGTGTCGACGAGAACAGCCCCACTCAGACAGCTTCGGATCCGTACATATTCACTTGCCAGGGGTCCAATGTTTGCTACCGCAACAGTTTTGATGGAGGCGCCTACCAGTATGGGTGCGGCACCACAAGTCAGGGTACGACTGTTGCTGCCACGGCATCTGGACTCAGCACTACTGTGGCCATTACGCACATCTCGGGCCTCGTCACGAGACAGGAGACCGCTTCGTCGAGTAGCTCTTCCTCCAGTAGCTCTAGTTCGTCGAGCAGTTCCTCTACAACTTCAAGCTCATCCACCAGTTCCACGACCAGCTCATCTTCAACGACCTCCACGACGTCGTCAGCATCGTCAACCTCGTCTGCCCCAGCGGCTACTAGCAGCGCTCCTCCAGTGAACGCCGAGGCTGCCGCGGCAGGACTGAGACGTAACGGGGGCATCATCGGTGGTGTCATCGGCGGCTGCGCAGTCTTTGTGGCCCTCGTCTCTGTGGCACTCTGGATGCGCAAGCGCAAGCGTGGTAACAAGCGTCTCGGCCCTGGCGCTGGCAAAGGTCCCACTTATGTGTAAGTTCAGACCCATCCACGATCATCCATAATCGAACCAACGAAACTAACCTCCCCGCAGCCCCCAAACCAACCAAAAGGACTTTGCACCCGTACCCGGCGGCGAGATGATGTTCGACCAGGCAGGCTACGGCCACCCATCCATGATGCCCGGCGCCCACGGCAACACCACCTCCATCAGCGGAGGCCGCTCCGCCACCACGCCGCCATCGTCCGCACCCCATGGTGGATATAATCCCGCCAGCGGCGCCTCTGCGTCCGGCGCGTCCCGGTCGACGGGGGACGATACACCCCTTACGCACCAGGGCGAGATGGAGGAGTTTTCTAGAGGGTACAATGATGCTGTCGGGCGCGGTGGCGAGGGAGGACACAGAGCGACTAGTTCGGGTACGGACGGGAGCCCTTACGGCGCTGGCGCTGGGGCGACGAATGCGGGCCATCGGGCTGATGGGTCTGAAGAGAGGCCGTTGTGGCAGCAGAATCGGAGGCAGAGCCGGAATCTGATGTGGATGTAAGATGAGATGAGGTTTGGGTAAGTTGGTTTCGTCAAGCTCTGGTGTCGTGGAGTTTTGGATATATCTTGACATTATTAAGGAGGGGCACAGTGGCCCTGGTAGACTCGGAGTTACAATGCTCCTAATACGTAAATAATTCGTACCCAGCATATCGTATCTCTCTATTGGAAGTCTAACATGTTCCGGGCTTGGTTCTATTGAGTCTACGGCTCTCAGCTCGGGCTTAGCCTTGAGAAAACTCTCGACGCCTACCCTGCATATCAAGCATCCCGACACCTACACAGAGACAGAGTCTGCAAAAGTCCACGCGCAACCCATTGCAACTATTCCAAGCCATAGATAATCTTCTTCACAACCCCCTGATCAACATTCCCCCCACAAAGCAAAACAACACTCGTCTGGCCCGCAACCTCCCCCTTAACCTTCTCAAACCCGGCCAGCGCCAACGCAGCAGCCCCCTCGACAACCATATTCTCCTCCATCGCAATCCTCCTCATCGCATCCGCAATCTCCTCCTCGCTACAGCCAACAACCCCATCCACCACCTCTTTTGCAAGCGGCAGCGTAATCGAGTCCTCGTCCATCCCGCCCGCCACCGCCTCAGCAAGCGTAGGCAAATGCCCCGTCTCCACGACCTTCCCAGCGCGGATCGATTCCGCCAGAGCCTGGGAATTCGTCGCCGCGACGCCGTAGATTTTCACGTGTGGAGCAAACGCCTTGAGAACGGACCCGATGCCGCTGATGAGTCCCCCGCCGCCCATGGCGATGAAGATGTTGTCGAGGCGGGGGATTCCTTGGGCGGCGCACTGTTCTAGGATCTCGAGGGCGATTGTGCCTTGCCCTGCGACGACGAGGGGGTCGTTGTAGGGTGAGATGTAGGTGTACTCCCCCGAGGCGGCGAGCTTCTGGGCGTGTTGTTCTGCGAGACCTGTTTCTGCGCCGTGGAGGATGACGGTCGCGCCGAGGGACTCGATTTTGGCGAGTTTGGTGGGGAAGACTGTTTCTGGGAGGACGACGGTGAGGGAGCGGTTTAGGGCTTTGGCTGCGTAGGCGGCGCCGATGCCGTGGTTTCCTGAGGAGGCGGTGATGAGCTTTTTGCTGCTGTTGTTGTGGGAGTCGGAGTCGGGGGCTTGGGATGCGGAGATTTTGGAGGTTGCGCCGCGGAGTTTGAAGGAGCCTGTGAGTTGGAAGTTTTCTGCTTTGAAGAGGACTTGGGCGTTGGTGTCGCGGCCTGTTGTACGGGCTGGGAGGAGGGGGGTGGTGTAGATGTGGGAGGCGATGCGGGACCTGGCTTGGACTGCGCTGGCTGCTACTTCGTGGATTGAGAGGGACATATTGGTGTGTGGTGATGGAGATTTGGAATCTGAGCAATTGGAAATGTTGGAACAAAGGTAGTATGGTACTGTTGGTTGAGTTATGGATAAAGAACTCGATCTGGTTAAATTTGATGTACCTACGTAGGTGTACTTATAGAGAGCACTTTGAAGACGTCTTAAAGATGTGCGAATCAGCGACTTTGGAACTTTGGACCGGACCTGTTACGCCCTGTTGGTGACTGGTGACCCACTCAAAAGGCTGCATTCCTGATTGGCTTGAGTGGCATTTACCTTTCTAGCCATGCAGGTCATTGGATCCTTCCAACTGAAGTCCCAGCGCCGTCTGCAATGTAACGATGTCTCGGACCCGGGCCGGGCTTGACGTTGCTAGAGTGCGACTTGGGTCGGCAACGGCGGGCTCCACAATGCCGGTCGATGCATCCACTAATGCCGTCCCGAGACCCGGGAACCCGGATGGACTTCGGATCGGATCCGGAGCAATCTGGGCCATTTGATAAGGCACCTTGAGATAAGGTTTCTTGGACCCTGAGGTGGGCTCGTGCCATTTCTCGGCCGAAATCGGATTCAGCATTTACTATCATGCAAAAAAGTAAAATGCATATTTGAACGGCACAATTACAATGAGGCGTTATTTCGCTACTTCATGATTGAATCCCATCACCGCTCATTCTGGCCTGGCTGGTTTCGCAAATTGACATTGTCTGATTGGCTCAACGTGGCCATCATCATTTCAAGACTCAACATGGATAGGTCCTGTTGAAGGCCCGGGCTATCAAAACCCACAACCCGAAAGGGTGAAATTGGATGGTTAGGTTCTACGGTCTACCGTTCTGTGCAACGCTGCCACCTGTGTTGTGTGTGGCTCACTCACTGGCCAAGGTATCAAGTCTCAACCAAGATCTGGGGAATGTCGAGACCTTGGAGGATTGGACGGTCTAGAAAGGCCAGAAAAGCCACCCCTACCCCTCCGGCCTCCGGGCGGTGAAGACTTTTTTTCGTGAATTCTTTCCTGACATTTGGTGACTTCGTGGCCTCAACTGACTTGGCGGTGCATTGCCCGCAGGGGTCCTTGGGATTGCCAGGGGCGCTTCAGCCAGTTGTGTGCGACGTTGCCCTCTTTTATCAGCGCCCCTGCATAAAATTGCCCACAAAAGCGGACCCAGCGGCGTCCGAGAAACACACAATGCGGTTAGGCCAAGACAGAAACGCTGCTAGAAGCCAAGTAAACCACCCCGTTACCATCCCCCCCGTAGGCCCCCGTAGCCCCCCCCGAAAAGGGCCCAGGGCCCCCCCAAATTCTGTTGGTGGTCGCGACCCGCGTCGGAAACAGCTCCAGCTTTAAATCTGTCCACACCTTTTCCCAAGGCGGTGTCTCCAACTACATCTCCAACCACCTTTCCTCCTTTGTATCCCGATACGCGGTTAGAAAACGAAGCTGCGCGCGAGAAAGATCGAAACCGCGGAGCTTTCCTTTCTAACAAAGCACCATCAGCTTACATCGTCCATCATGGCTGACGAAAAGCGCAAGGACGGCGCGCAGCTTGAGGGTGACATCACCTTCATCGCGACCCCTGCCGCGAAGCCCTCTACGTTCAGCACTGGCGAGGATTGCGGTGTCAAGACCACCAATGTAAGGACACACTCTCTCCCTCCCAGCAAACCCCTATCCCGCGGATTGACTCAATCGACTGCGAACGATCACAAACAAGCTCAATTGTCTTGTCTCCCTGCGTCTCGGACCCAAAGCTGACCTTCTCCTGTCCAGTACCCCACCATCAACAACCCTCCTCTTCCTGCCGAGGGCCCTGGCAATGAATCCTTCTCTAACTGGATACTCGGAGCTGTTCTCGCCGGTGTTCCCCTCTGGGTCACCCGCATCTTCGGCGGCGGTCTCAAGACCTTCATCTTCTTCTTCATCCTCTTCGTCGTCCCTCTCCTGATCGCCTTCTGGACCGTTTCATCAAGGTTCTCTCCCCGCATCAACGACAAGGCCAAGCTCCCCGGCCGCCCCGTCGAGCACTACCTCACTTTCAAGAACGAGGAGGATCGCAAGCAGTACAGCGGCCGCAACAAGATCCCCATCCAGACTTTCGCTGAGCTCTACACCGAGGGCCTCGTCGACATCAACGGCGACCTCCTTGACGCCCTCGAGTACCGCCACGACTGGTCCAACTTCGCCTTCACCTACTCCCTGTTCCGCTTCATCTTCCTCGAGTTCGCTCCCGATGTCATCTTCCACTCCCGCCAGCAGGATGAGGACCAGATCAAGCCCACCTACGACAAGGGTAACGACCACTACTCCTACTTCCTCGGTCCCCGCATGGTCTACACCAGTGGTCTCTTCTCCGACCTCAGCCGCGAGGAGACACTCGAGGAGATGCAGGACAACAAGATGGCCGTCGTTTGCGAGAAGCTCGGCCTGAAGGAGGGCGAGACCATGCTGGATATTGGCTGCGGATGGGGCACCCTCGCCAAGTTCGCCAGTGTCAACTACGGAGCCAAGGTTACCGGGGCCACCATTGCCAGCAACCAGGCCGCCTGGGGTAACGACGGCCTCCGCCGCGCCGGCATCCCCGAGAGCCAGAGCCAGATCCTCTGCATGGACTACCGCGACATCCCCACCAAGAAGTTCAACAAGATCTCCCAGCTCGAGATGGGCGAGCACGTCGGTATTCGCAGACTCACCACCTTCTTCCGCCAGTGCTACGACATGCTCGAGGACGACGGCGCCATGTACGTCCAGCTCTCTGGTCTCCGCAAGGCCTGGCAGTACGAGGACTTCATCTGGGGTCTTTACCTCAACAAGCACATCTTCCCCGGCGCCGACGCCTCCACCCCGCTCGCCAACTACGTCGGCTGCCTCGAGAGCGCCGGCTGGGAGATCAAGAGCATCGACACCGTCGGCGTCCACTACTCGGGCACCCTCTGGCGCTGGTACCGTAACTGGCTCGGCAACTCCGAGACCGTCCACGCAAAGTACGGCCAGAAGTGGTACCGCATCTGGGAGCTCTTCCTCGCCTGGTCCGTCATCGCCTCCCGCCAGGGCAGCGCCACCTGCTTCCAGATGGTCGTTGTCAAGAACCTCAACGCCACCCACCGCATCGACGGCTTCTCTTCCCAGTTTGGCCTGTCTGGCGCCCTCGCCGCCGCCAAGGCTGCTGGCAAGGCTGTCTTCCCCCGGTCGACGTAATTGCAGAAATCACGCGACACACCCTCCAACTTTTTTGGTGTGTGAGAGTGTAAGAGTGTGAAGAAAATGGCTGTATGTGTCCATGAATGGAAATGAATGATTTTCCTCCCCCTCCCCTTTTGTCCTCCCGCGGCGACCCGACCAAAGTTTTTTCATCTTTTCTCTCATCTGGCTCCTGGGGCCGAGGGATTTCAAAAAATGAAAAGGGGTGGGTGGAGGAGAACGGGCTTTTACGTTGTCATATTTTGGAGGTCGGGGCTTTATTATAAAAGTTTTTGATCCCATACACAGGCTAGATAGAGAGAGACAGAGACGCGGGGGATGGTTCTGAACCCTCCCACAGTGCTCCAGTGCTAGAGTCCCCGGTTTCATTACTGGGTTTCTTAGATATAGGGGAGGAAAGATGTTCACGAATGTCGACATGTTGTTGATGTTAATGAGACAAAAAGTTACAAGTTGATTCTGCTTCTGGTTGATTCGCTGTATTGCCGGTGTTGTGATGTCTTCCATCCCATTTACCCGAATGACGTCTTGATCGGGTGTTACCCCCAAGGATTGTGAGTGAAAAAATCAGCAGACCACTGAGTAGAAGTCAGACGTAGACCTGTAATCCCAAATAGCACATGGCCCGATTCCAACACGAGGACGTTAAAATATTCTAAACTCCACTTCACCCGGCTTGGTATCGAGGAACTCTCCATGCATGATGCCGTCTACATTTGCACCTCCTTTGAAGTAAAAGCCCCCTTCAACCCGCCGCTTTAGGATGATTGGCGAAGGTACTTTCCAGATCAACGTCACAACATCGTCGACCTCTACCCCGGCATGCCCAAGACCAAGCATCCCATTTGCTGTCTTGAAAAGTGTTCGATTTGTGTTTTGATGAGTCAGGTGATACCTCCATTTTCGCCCAAACAGCTCTAGAGCCTCGTCATCCATCTTTCCGTCTTTGCTGTTGTCGAAGACGAACTTGATCTCTGCGCTAGTCAAGTCGGCAATCTTCACGTCCTGAACTCGCATGACCTTGCGAAGAAGCCCCGGGACTTTGCCTACCGCATCGATGCCCACAATGCTCGTGCGGGAGTTCCAATCATTGGCAGGCGCGATCATCCGCCAAACGTAGTCATCCTCAGGGCCAACCTCCGGTCCGAGTCCGACGAATTCCACAATCGAAAGGAACCAGTCGTCGGGATTGTTCAATCGGGGCCGCGAGTAGTCATCGGGCCGAGTCCACTCGTGGGGTTTCATCACCTTGGTGATTCTATCGACATAACAGCCTCGCTGTAGGATGCTTGGTTTTACACCCCTCACTACAGAGTACAACGCCCTTCGGGATTGCCGTCTCGATGCAGTCGCTTTGAACCCTGTACCGTAGCTGATTGGCCATGTCACTAGGCCGTGTCGACCGATTTCTTGCCAGTCCGGTACCCACGTAGGAAGCCTACCGTTGGGGCTTCCCGGAGGGATGCAGTCGAGGTCAAAGCTGGGTGACGTCTCACTCTCGACTGGGTTACTCAGCATGGTCGCCGTGATTTCCACAAACACCTCTTTCCGCGTGAGAGAGTAGTCCGCCCGGAGCACATTTCTTTCGTGGTCTGCAAGCACACCAAGCAGCCCGAAAGCAATATCCCTCGGGTCCGTGGCAGAGTAATGAGGCCGCATTGGCGGTTTCTCCGCGGTCCACAGGATATCTACCAAATTCACAATCAACCCCTCTTGGCGATGACGCCGAACTTTCAGAGGCGTTAAATAATTGACACTTGGCGGAATAGTCTTGTCAGTCATAGAAAATAACGGACTGTTGTAAGGAATCATATTGCGTATCCTCCAGAGTAACTCAACGGTAGCGTCCAGTGCGTCAAGAGAAACACTCTTGCTGCCAGAAATTACAGAGGTGTTCCGGGCCAGGCAGACTTCTTGTACGATCCAGATGCGCTGCCAGTAGTCTCTAGCCAGGAGGTCGCGAATGCCTGTGCTGATGGATGGTGACTTGGGAGCCAAAAAGTCACACAAGGTCTCGTATGCGGCCACTGGGAAGAATGGCAAGGTTCCCGCCCCGCCCTCGTATGGAGTCGTGTCCAGCCCGGAGTCAACTGGGATTCTGTCTGCCAAATTCGCAGGATCTCCCGGCTCGCGGGTGAAAGCGTTTGTTCCGGTCAACTGACCGAGATAAAATGCGACGTACCGGTAGAGCATTCTGTCAATTTCGTGGTCCCACCGCAGATCTTCAGGGAGGTACTTTAGAAGTCTTTTTCCAGTTCGAGATAGGAAATCCATGGCCGCGTCACTACTCTGGGTTCCGGGGCCCAGCCACATGTAGACCATTTCGGCGCCGCTATAGATGTCCCGCATAGCGTTGATCTGCCAGCTCTTCTCCTTCAAGTCAATCTGTTTTATACAGATGGCATCGATCCAGAGCCACGAGTCTACCGCGTTCATTCGAAGTTGCTTGAGCGCAGCGTGGAGGTTCAACGTGACGTTGAAGGAGGCGCCCTCGATTTCGATGGCCGTGGTGTTAGTGGTGCTCCCCCACACGTACGAGAGTGCCGCGTATGACAGTCCGGGCTCATCTAGCGAGGCGTGCTTGATGTCAAGTGCAATCATGTTCTTTGCGCTGACTTGTCCGTCGGGCAAGGGGCGGATTCGGACGAGCCTGATTTCTCGCCGATCTTTGTTGAGGGGAGCATGGGTGAACATGTTGTACGCGATATGAAGATGTCGCGATAGCGACGATGTAAGAAACGGGTTGAAGTATAAGTTGTCTGATTTCCGAGCCAAGACTTGGTGATTCTTGTAAGTTGAAAGGATCTGGGAATGGGCCGGGAAGCATTTGGGGGAAAGGAGCTGAAAGATCCCTGGTGGTCCGCAAGAGGCAGCCTGCACTTTTGAATCACATGAGGGGAATTTCATTGGTCGTTCAACGCGAACCAGTGATCTAAGAGCCTGATTTATCACGAAACCCCCTGTTCCTAATACTAAAATGTTTACTGTGAGAAATCTGCCTGCGCTAGCCCAGAATCTCAGACCGGATATGAAAGCTTTCGGAGGACGGCATATATTCCCCCAGCAACGGCTGCCGGAGTCTCAGAGTCGCCTTGATGTTCAGGTTCACCAAGTTCGCTCGCCTGTCTCTTCTCTACCTCACGTCGCTGCCAGTACCGAGGTCTCGCCTTGCCGTGTCTTCTATATACCCCACCCCCCCAAGCCTCTTCAGGAACATGGTATGGCCCTCACTTGTTGGATTCTCCGAGTATCCAAAGTCGATGACAGAATTTCTAGCCTCGACTATCAGCAACGACGCAGCGTCTCTACAACAAGGTGCTGATGGCGAAGCCAGAAAAATGACCTGCAACGACTTCAAGCGGTATATTTTTAATACCCTCAACCAAAATGGAGTAGGAACTCAAAATCTAACGTCTCCTATGATCTAAGATATGACCCTGATCTGTAACACAGGGATTTTTGTGGGATGACGATCGCCTTAAATCCTCTATGAGAAAGAAGAGGGACTTGAAAGTCGTCGGGATTCAAATAGAAATTGCGCTCCAAAACATGGATGCGAAGATGAACATGTTGCTTCGGATTCAACATGGAGTGGGTCTAATCAACATCGAGGCGGCTATGGAGCTGGCGCAGAAGACAAACGCAAGGATCTACAATGCGTTGTGAGTTTATTCAAAGTTAATGGTGTAGCTGAAAACACGTCTTTGAGGTTGCGCTGACTGCCTGTTATAGCCGACGGGTAGACCATGAACTAGCTGCTCAGAACACCGCCGTGCAGTCCTTGATCAGGCGAGGCGGTTTCTCTGCGCCGCTCTCCCGAGCCTATATGGATGCCTTGCTGGAACATCCGGAAAACGGTATCAAGGCGTTTGTTCAGAAATAAGTCACTTCTATGAAAGGAAATATCGCGCAGAGCTTCTCCGATTTGGACGGGCGTTCTGGGGATATCACTCACATGAATGAAGACCCAAGGTATCGGAGGCTCAAGACCAAGTGAAACATATTTCAGGCTCTTCCACAGTCTACTTGGACTATTGAGATGAGCTGGGCGTGGCCAAGCTATGATGTCGCGCGGATAGATGGCTCGGACCCTGGGGTTTGCGAGTTGCCACATGCGACTTCCACCACCACTTCACCTGCAATGACTTCTTACAAGCAGACGAAAACAGTACCGGACTCGCTCACAGCATTCACGTCTACGATGCTGACAAACCTGCCGACGATGACACATGCACCAATCCCGTGTGGCACAGAGGATTGTGGGACAATCAGCTGCGCGGGAGGAGGGGCCGGGGAGTGTCTTGCTCTGCCGATGGGAAGAGGGTATGCATGCGGTTGCCAACCTCGCTTGTGGACAGTTTCTTACACAAGCACGATGGTACATGTCACAACCTCAATAACTGCTGCATCAACTCCGAGGTCGCCGCAGCCGATGCCCCCTAAGGCCAGCTCTACGACATCGGCACCAACTTCTAGATGGACTCAGTCATGTAAGATTGGCGGTCTGAGGTTCGACCGAGAGACATTCACTGACTGGGTTGAGGAGTTCTGCAAGGATACTAATAAGAAGAAATGGAGTAACGACAAGTGGTTTGGTGCCGCGGTTGATGGCAAACTCGTCAAAACCAAGAGTATCAAGGTCTTTGAAACCGACAGCGAAGAAAATGTGTCTTCGTACAAGTTCACCATCCACGTGGTCAGGCCCAATAACAACGCCGACGAAAGCTTGTGGTGTGATATCAATGGAAGAGGTTCAACTTTGGCCTCCGCTCTCGATTGGCTGAGAGAAGACCCTCAGCAATGCAGAACTCAGTTGTATGAGTTGCTCAAGTGTAAGTAAAAAACTTCCCTTCGGTACAACGGAACTATATTAACACACTTTCCAGGTGGGCCGAATGCAAATGGCGCAGATAGACCTTCAGGAGGAACCCGAGGAGGTCTTTGCTTGCATTGGACCATCGAAGTGAGGAAGGATGAGGAGTGAGTGAGTCACTGCCGGAGACGCTCTGGTTGATATGAGTTTCGTTCTCATGAGACGGAACTTTACGTGCTTTTTCTCTGCTAGATATCCCATGGTTGTTTTCTCTAATTATGATTCATTTTTCGAAATCTCCGAAAAAACCTCATTTTTCCTATAGAAGGCCTAATCGTTCTTTTGGGGTCGAATTTATAGTTCTACTTTCAGAAAAATGACATTGTGGCTCTCATTATATACTTTGCATTGTTCTATCTTCAAGTGATATAAGAATATCGAGCATATATGAGACAGGGAGTCATGGAGTATACTGTCAGTTGAGATTACTGGAAATCATAGCCCTACTTTTATCATCGGAATTTCAAGCATGTTGGTAAAAATTGAATCACTGAGTATTTCACTGGGCTACAGTCGAGGGCAACTTAGTTTACATGTGACCTAACCCTTGAAAAAGACCATGGCAAAGCCCTGGTGAGCACCCTTAGCAACTCCCTTCAGCTCTTGATGTGCTGCACAGCCATTGTCATAGTAATCCATATCTTCTTTCGATGCAAATGTAGAGATAGCCGCAATCGTGAATCCTTGAGCTCTTTGATCTGCAATAGCTAGGCTGGCCTTCACCGAGACTATGTATGGCTTGCCATCCTACAACTGGTAAGCTCAGAGCTCATGGTGTGGTATCAAGACAATGCTAGCCAGATGGAGATTGACTCCGCTCTCAAAAGCCTAACTGGTCATACTCACTTTCAAGGCCTTTTGGGGCATCTGCTGGTAGAGCGACAGTACTTTGTTTTGGTTCTCCTCGTCTGGGATCTTGAAAAGAGTGATTCTCGTAATTTGTTCAGACATTTTCGTGAAGCTAATGACTTGGGTCTTCTAGAGTATCAAAAGTTACGGGGCAATTTGGTGTCGTTGTGTTGTGGTGATTGTCGTATAATTCGATCAACAGCTGGCGTTAAGACTGAAACTTGGCACACTCAACCTTCCCTAAGATCAACTTTCTTGTCGGCTGTTTTTACACTCCGACAAATAACACAGAAGCCGAGAAACTCCCATTGCCGAAGATCCCTGAACCGCCGGCAGCGGCAGATTCGTGATTGAATGAGGGGGTTGTTTGCATTCCGAGCCGTCGGAACCAAATTTCGGATTCTCGGAACCCACCATTTCGATGGCTGCCACAGCGATCATGGAAAGGTAAATAGAAGTGTGTTAATACACGAAATCAAACAAACTCGAATTACTAAGGTGTTGACTCAACCAAATTGCTGAAGACTTTCCACGTCTAATTACGCAAGATGAAGTCCTGGCTCCCCATCCCACCCCGGTCGCACTTTTCGCTGCTGAACATTCCTTTCGGGGTGATTTCAAGCAAAGATAAGCAATTACACAGACCCGCTATCGCCATCGGAGAACACATCCTCGACCTTGATGCTTTTGCTACAGGCGGAGGTTTCAGTAAAGCAGCAAATGTGTCTTCCGAGCATGCAAAAGCGTTCTCCCAGCCCACCCTGAATGCCTTTGCCGAGCTTGGCCGACCGGTGCATCGCGCCGTCCGTTTATACCTTCAGGACATATTTCTCAACGACACCCCTCATCCAGACGTGTTGAAGGACAATGAGACTCTCAAAAAGGCGGCTTTGAGGCCCATTTCGGAGGTGTCTATGCACCTCCCGTTCGCCATTGGAGATTACACAGACTTTTTTGCTGGAAGAAACCATGCTCACAACGTTGGTGTTCTGTTCCGTGGACCGGCCAACGCCCTTCAGCCGAATTACAGCCATTTGCCCGTCGCCTACCACGGTCGTGCAAGCTCAGTCGTTGTCTCTGGAACTCCTCTTAGACGGCCTTGGGGACAGGCGCTGCCGGCCCCTGGCGCAACCGAGCCCGTTTTCCGGCCATGTGCGCGCCTCGACATTGAACTCGAGATGGGCATGTTTATAAGCAAGCCGAACGACCTTGGTAGCCCGGTGTCTGTCAAAGATGCCGACGAGCACATCTTCGGCTACGTCTTGATGAACGACTGGAGTGCAAGAGATATCCAGCAATGGGAATATGTGCCCCTTGGTCCGTTCAACGCGAAGAATTTTGGAACCACGATTAGCGCCTGGGTCGTGCTTGCGGACGCACTTGAGCCATTCAGAACAAAAGGGCTAGAGAATGAAACCCAACTACAGAAGTATCTCCAAGAAGATCGGTCTGACAACGTTCTTGACATCAAGTTAGAAGTAACTCTTGCTCGTAAGTTGAAACCTCCCGACCACCCTACATACATGGCAAATGTACTGCGTTGGAAGAAAACCAGGCTAATCAAAGCACGCTTTTCTTCACGATGCAGCTTCAGAAGGCGAGGAAACAACCGTTACTCGCACATCTGCCAAGAATCTTCTCTGGTCCTGGCCGCAGATGGTGGCTCATCACTCAATCTCTGGGTGTAATCTTCGTGCTGGAGACCTTCTCGGATCTGGTACCATTTCAGGGGACCAAGCAGGGACGCAGGGAAGCTTGCTGGAGCAGTCTCAAGGAGGCAAAGTCCCAATCAAGCTGAATGGCGGGCAAGAGCGGAAGTTCATCCAAGACGGTGATACGGTGGTTATTCGAGGCTGGGCTGGCGAACAGGATGGTCAATTGGTTGGGTTTGGAGAGTGTATTGGCCAAATACTACCTCCGATTTCAATGTAAAGAAATGAGAGGTTTATGAACTTGGCGATTGTAGAGTTAAATAGTCAATACACCATGCCATCAAAGTCACATAACACCACAGCTGGGAAATGCGAGTCTTCGAGGTGCTATATCGTTATTGTTTTTATCGAAGAGTGGTTATACAGGCACAATTAACTTGCATTTTGCAGACCATACTGCATATGTTTACTTCAAATATAGACATTAATGAAAACGGAACATCGAAACTTTCGATACTGCATAACGAGCGCAGTGCGACGATGAGGCCAATGAGCCATTGCTGTGTTCTCAATCGCAGACTCTTGATGAGATTCTGACTTCCTTCGCATTGCGCAACCGGTGAGAGAATTATCTGAGAAAAGCCTCAGATCATGTTGAGATCTGATGGAATCGTATCCCGCCTCTAGATATCTACGCACTTAGCATTGCCGAGTTCACGAGCCGCAACCAGGTAACTCGGAACCGCTTATGTTCCGCAGTTCCGGAGGGATACACGAATTGACTTCAAACACTGCATCTTGCAGTGAAAGTAAGTTTCCGTGACGTGTAGTTCCGTAGCATTGCTTCCATCACGTTTCATTTGCCTTTCCCTTCGGATTACTGCAACGCGGGGTTGGTCGCTTCAACTGCAGCGGTGCTGTCCCAATGTGTGCATCCCAATCACACGTGCCACTCAAACATGCAGAAAACCAAGACTTCATATACTACATAAGATTTGCATTCAAGGGAGGTAATAACTACCGTTTCATACCAAACAATTGAGGCATGCTTTCAAGATACGATCATTGCCCACCTTATCCATCTTCACGACTGTAATTGTGTTTCGGGACTACGTTCCTCATACAGCATACAACCATGCCTGTGACTAATTTCTCTACTGAGGAGAAGTACGAGTATCTCAACGGATTTGGGTCTCTCCATGAGTAAGTCCGGGTTTCTTGCATCATTAATAATGCCGAAACCTGTTATGTCGTCAGCCTGGTGTTGACCAACAATCATCTAGATCAGAGGCGATCAAAGGGGCTCTTCCTATCGGTGCGAATTCTCCACAAAAAGCGCAGTATGGCCTGTACGCCGAGAAGCTCTCTGGCACTGCGTTCACAGCACCTCGTCATGAAAACCTTCAGACTTGGCTTTATCGTATTATTCCAGCGGCCTCACACTCTACATTTGAACCGTTGAAGCAGAACAGACCTGACTCCGGAGGCAAACTTCACCAAATCCCGAATCAGTTGCGATGGGATCCGTTTGACATCAACAATGAGACAGATTGGATTAGCGGCCTCCGCCCAGTCGGTGGCGCCGGGGATCCCAGCATGAAAACGGGTCTCGGAATTTTCATTTTTGCTGCTGGTCGAAGCATGGATTCCAACATGGCCATGTATTCTTCTGACGGAGATATGTTGATCGTTCTCCAGCACGGTGTGCTTGATATCAAGACCGAGCTAGGCAGCATACTAGTCCGGCCCAACGAGATTGCCGTTATTCCACGCGGTATCAGATACCAAGTCAACCTGCCCAAAGGACCGGTCCGAGGATACATCCTCGAGCTTTACCAGGGCCATTTTGTACTCCCAGAATTGGGCCCTATCGGTTCCAACTGTTTGGCCAATGCACGGGACTTTCAAGTTCCGACGGCAGCCTTTGATGAGGATGCAAGCCAGTGGTCAATTGTCAACAAGTTCAACGGGGATTTCTTTATCGCAACACAGAATCATACGCCATTCGATGTTGTAGCCTGGCATGGCCAATACTACCCATACAAGTATGATCTTGGCCGCTTCTCTGTCATCGGCAGCATCTCATTTGACCATCCGGATCCATCCATCTATACGGTCCTCACTGGTCCGTCAGACCACCCAGGCACAGCCGTGGCCGACTTTGTCATCTTCCCGCCTCGTTGGCTTGTGCAGGAAGACACCTTCCGCCCTCCATGGTACCACCGGAACACCATGTCTGAGTTCATGGGCCTCATCTGCGGCGACTACGATGCAAAGACTGGTGGCGGCTTCCAACCTGCTGGAGCAAGTCTGCATAACGTCATGTCTGCCCATGGACCTGATGCTAGCACGTTTGAGCGGGCGTCAAATGCCGAGCTGAAGCCGCAGAAGATCGGCGAGGGAAGTATGGCTTTCATGTTTGAGAGCTCTCTGATGATTGGAGTAACAGACTGGGGCTTGGAGACATGTCAAAAGGTCCAGAAAGGATACAGCGAAGATAGTTGGACGGGATTGGTGTCCCATTTCAAAAGGCCAGAGTAATGTGTAGTGTCATAAGTGGGTTGGAATTCGTACCATTAGGGCAGCTATATATGAAACAGATTGTATCAAGAGGTCGAGAAGATAGCACCTTGCATCGAGAAACTGTGTAAGGCCGGTGCTTTCAAGCGATGTTGTCACTTGTGTGTGCCTTCCTTGGTTCGCACGAGCTCTTAGTCTCTCTTGCTTTGGAGGAACGAATTAAAAGTTGTTCAAGACTAAAATGATGTAATGTATTCACTTACGCCCTTTTGAAATATTCGCTAGATACGCATGGATTCCACCATACTGACAACCAGCTAAGGAAGTATGTATGGTTTAAATTTAATTTCAATTAAACATACATCTGCGTTGGCAAAGATGTGCGGCGCTACGGAGGTCTCCAAGCCAAATCTCCCGACGATGGTTTGAAAAGTGATACAGAAGGTTTAAACACATTTGACCTCATAAAGGATAGAAATCAATGATGAAATGATAGTTACCCGGCCCGACCTGAATGCTCAATTATCCCGAACTCCTTCAACGATATCCGAAACTACAACTGGAACCTCAAATTTTGCCCGGCCTCGGATGACATAATAACCAAGTCCGAAGACTAACCAACCTGCCATGACAACAGTAGAATAGTTCATATTCTGGGCAGTAACCGGTTGTGATGAAGGGAAAGTGCTAAAAATGATGACAACGGTCATCCAGACAAGACTGATAGTATTCAAGACCGGCCCCACAACCGGGCCCAACCTGAAAGGCCCGTATTCCTTGCGAGTGAGCTTGCCCCTACCGACGAACAACATATAAGCAATAGGAATACTGTAGGAAAGATAGATGCCGATAATCGCCATGGATAATACGGCATTGAAAGCGGTAGTGTTCGCCAAGTACAGAAAGCCGAGAAGAATCTGGGCCACAGTAACAAATACTATAGAGGTTACTGGTACCTGAAGCTTCTTGTTGACGTAACTGAAATGCGAGTCGAATGGAACAGCTCTGTCTCTAGCGAAAGCCCACAGAGTGCGGGAAGCGGAGGTGATGCCGCCTACTGTTGCAGCAATTGCAATCAAGATCACTAGGAGCGAGAGCACTGTCGCTCCGGCCCGAGATCTGGTAACATCGAGATAAATCTGCATGAAGGGGAAGCCGGTCGGTGTAGTCAAAAGGGATTCCAGTGACCCAGTCGAGAACAGGAGAACCGTGCAGTAAATGAAGCCCATCAGGCCATTAACAGTTACACTTCCGACCATAGCAATGGGGACATTGCGTGGGGCGTTGGGGATCTCTTCGGCCATGTGACAAGCAGCGTCGTACCTTTTGTAAACCAAGTCAGCACCCATTGAGGGGACCATAGATGGGAAGATACTTTATAGAGAGAACTTACCCAAGGAAAGGATACACCGCGCTAATCAAGCCCACGAGCCACGACACACCATCATTCTCCCAGCCACTACTGTTGACGACTTCGGTGAAGACAAAGGACGCGGTATTCTTGGGAGCCATGACGCCAAGGACCACCAGTATGACTACGAAACCCACAACGTGGAGAATACCTTGGCATTGTTAGCGAAAGTTTTCGCGTAATAGACCTTAGGTTTATTCCTCTTGTCTTTCTCACCTGAGATCATGTTTGCGTGGGGCAGCATCTTTGACCCCCAGATGTTGAGCGCCGCTGAGTATAGAAGCACAGCCCAGTAGAACAACATGCCTTGCCATCGTGCCGGTATGTAGGAGTCGTCGTTGATGACGATCAAGGACTGGGTTTGCAGGCCAGCTGCAAACGCTGCTGATGCACAGAAGACAATCAGACCACCCACGGAGATCCAACCGGTCGTGAAGGCTGCGAGTGATCGGCTACGAGGGGGACACAAGGCCGCGACCCAGTGATACTGACCTACCATGGAGTAATTAGCTTTGAGAGGGCAGGAGCCAGGGTCGCCAGGAAAGCTTACCTCCTGCAGTAGGATAGATGGATGCAATCTCGCCAAGAGATGATGCTATGCACACAGAGCACAGAAAGGAAAGAACACTGAGCAGATTATCAACCCATGTTCGATGACTTGGAAGTTCTCCACTGCGTGATAGAAACAGATTCGAGTGGTTGACATTAACTCACAAGTTGTAGAATAAGCATGGCGCACCGCCATTCACGAGTGCCTGAGCAATGACAGTGGAAAGTGCTTCCCATGTTGCCATAAGACATAGGCATAATGCCCCCAAGGTTGTCAAAGAGAATTGCCGCTTCAGCTCCTGCTGATGGCCGAGTTGCGCGAGACGTTCTTCATCGGAAAGGACTAGATAGCCGGGGATGCTATCAACTGCCTTGAGCTGGTCGTCGGTCTTTGTTTCGTTCTGGTCCATGATGGAGTTTCGAGCCATTCTGTCTGGATCGATACTTGCTGTTTGGTGTTTCCAACTCATCTTTGATTGCTTTCTTTCTTATTTCTTTTCGAGTCCGGAACACGGAATTGGGGCACCGGGCACGGCGGATGCAGAATTTCGAAGAGAAAGGGGATGTGACAAGCGGACAGTCACGCGGGTATACCAGCGATTGGGGTTACCCAGCGGAGACTATCAGCTTCAGTCTGGCTTTGATAATGCGGCAGCAGTGGCACAATGCCTAGTACAATAACTATTGATAATGCTTTGATGCTAACAGGCTCTTAGTTGGATGGGAATCGCGTTCAGGGCCGAGGAATTGGTGACAGTGCCAGGCGACGGCGCTTGACCGTTCTCGTCGAGAAGCGAGATATTGAGCATGGGCGATTTCCGCATTCCGAGAGAAGGCAATTGGGGTTTGGTGGGCACCAAATGCAACACGCCTCATAGACTCAGTAAACAACAGTGAGCAACCCCCTCGATGATCGACGAGAGGCAAGGTCCTGATGTTGCAGAAGTGTTGGACACCAAACGAGTAGTATGTACTTGGTCACCTGATTGGTCATTTGTGATGATACCGGTCATCCTTGTAGAGAGAATCAATCATATCTGCTGAATTTGTCTTTGTTCTTTGTCTGACTCGTGGCAATAGATAAGAATAGGCTACGGCATTTTCACTGTTACCTTTGACACGTCTGTCTGCCGTATCTAGTTGGAGTTGAGAGGATAGGGGAATAAGTCCAAGCCACGTTTGGCATTCGACTTTCGAACAAGGCAATGCTTGCTCATGTCATATTATCGACCCTGGATAGATTCAAAAGTCCAGGAAAAGGTTCGGCAACGGCAGTGCTTGCTACTCGGAACCCTATAGCTTCCGCTCGGAACGCACCCCGCATTCTCTGCAAGCCATCCCGACGTTCCCTGCGGGGGTCATACCCCTAACTGCATCTGCAAAGCGACCTGGGGGTGGGGAACGCGGGGAATTAGTGTACTTTGTAATGAACCAGTTCCGAGAGGTCTGTTTCCAGATGGCGGTTTGCCAGGAGGGACAGTACCGACGGGACCCGACAGGAAAGCTTCTGATACTCAGAGAGCGGCTCTGAAGCCGGGTAAGCACGGCGAGCTGGGACTGTCCGTATATCATGGAGGTGGTGGTTAGCTAGGGAGTTCGAGTAATGAACTAGATTGACAACACAATTCATCGTCTACAACACGTTGAAGCACACTGACATCTCAATTCCACGCCATGGCCATCTCAACTGCCATCTTTGCTTTGAAGCAAAGAATATTCGACCATGCTCTGCAGTCGACTGCTATCTCAATTCTCCTCCTACCCCTCATCTACGTCATTGCAAATGAATTCATTCGCTCCAAGGCCAGGATAGCAAAGCTAGACGGTCCTGGAGGGCTGCCACTCATCGGCAACTTGTGGGATATCCGGGTCAACGCGGCTGAGCAGTACCGTAAATGGGCCAAGAAGTTTGGCTCTGTCTACCAGATCCAGCTGGGCAATGTCCCTGTCGTTGTCGTGAACTCTGCCTCTGCAGCCAGGGCTCTTTTCGGACAGAATGCTCAGGCACTTAGTTCCCGCCCAGAGTTTTATACTTTCCACAAGGTGTGTAAGCAGAACATGGCATGAAATGGTGTTTAGACCAATAGTTTAGTAATGAGGCTGACGGAATGAGTACAGGTTCTCTCAGATACTGCTGGAACGACCATCGGCACATCTCCCTACAGCGACTCTCTTAAGCGTCGCCGCAAAGGTGCTGCTTCAGCCTTGAACCGACCCTCAGTTGCAACCTATGTGCCGCACCTCGACGTCGAATCACGGGACTTCATCAAGGAACTATACGAATATGGAAAGGCTGGACAGGCTCCCGTTGACCCTATGCCGATGATCCAACGCCTGTCGCTGTCTCTTGCGTTGACCCTGAACTGGGGTACTCGCATGAGCAGCCAGAAGGACAACCTCTTCAAGGAGATTACTCACGTCGAGGAGGAAATCAGCCGCTTCCGGTCAACCACAGGCAACCTCCAAGACTACATCCCTCTCCTGCGTATCAACCCCATCAACATGCACTCCGCCAAGGCACGAGAGATGCGCAGCAGACGCGACGTCTACCTGACCGCCCTGAACAGAGGTCTGGATGAGCGCATGGCAAACGGCACCCATAAGCCCTGTATCCAAGCCAATGTCATCATGGACAAGGACGCGAAGCTGAACCAGGCAGAGCTAACCTCCATCAGCTTGACGATGCTGTCCGGAGGACTTGATACCATCACGACTCAAGTTGCTTGGTTCATCGCCATGCTCTCTCAGCGTCCAGACATCCAGGACAAGGCCGCCGCCGCGATTAGAGAATTTTACAGCGAGAAGCAGCCTCTCTGCGACGCCGAGGATGACCAACAGTGCAAATACATCGTGGCTTTGGTGCGAGAATCTTTGAGATACTACACTGTCCTTCGCCTTGCTCTTCCCCGAGCTTCGGTTCGTGATGTTCCTTACGGACAGACCGTCATCCCCAAAGGATCAGTCATCTTCCTCAACGCGTGGGCTTGCAACATGGGTAAGACATATACTTCACCTTGAGCCTCAATTTTCAAGTACTCCACTAACACCCCATAGACTCTGAAGTGTGGACCGACCCCGAGGTCTTCCGCCCCGAGCGGTGGTTCGAGCAACCTGACGCGCCGTTGTTCACATACGGCGTCGGCTACCGCATGTGCGCTGGCTCTTTGTTGGCCAACCGCGAGCTCTACCTCGTCTACATGAGACTTCTCAACAGCTTCAAGATTGAGAAGCACGACGATGTGGACCACCATCCCGTTTCTGGCAACGCCGATCCTACTTCCCTTGTAGCGATGCCTAGGCCGTACAAGGCGAGATTTGTGCCTCGCGATACTAGCACGTTGAGTGATGTGCTGAAGGCGACCGAAGAGAAGGCGTAATGAGTGTCCATTTGAGGAGTCGATGGGCAATAGTGTAAATGAAAGTCTTTCAAGTGAATGGGAGGAGAGGAGGGTGGGAGAAGTTGAACTTGGCAGGAAGTTTTCAGTCAGATAGGGGATGAATACCAAATTTAAGATCCAGTTCAAAATGAAGATATTACGTTGCACCTTTAGCATCACAATTGTGAGCGTGGGATGATTTGATCTAGTTAAGGACGCTTTACCATACATTTGAAGACTCTGATATTCCAAGACCCAATGCTTCCGTTCCCTGCAGCCCTACTCACTCATAATGCGCTTTTGCGACCCTTTTTTTTTGCCAGGGGCTGCGACGAGTAGCCGTGATTTTACATTCACAAAGACTTGTGCTGAAAAAAGTCCTTGGTCAATTCCATAAGAGCAGTCTAAATCAAGCCCCAAAAGTGACGCGAAATCTCCTCCTCTCCAGACAATGGTGGCTGCTGCTCGTTTCCTCCCACGCAGTCTTGCATCCCATTTGCCCATATATCCTCAGTCTGCCCAAAGGCGTCGAACAGGAACATCAAGTCATTGCTGAGAGCAAATGCATCTGGGGCTCCAGCACCGAATTCTGCACTCATACCCATGGATTGTGCCGATGGCAGCGTCGCAAAGTTCGAGTCCAATCCCACAGCCGATGTGGGATTCTCTTCTTCAATCACCATGTCCATGGGGTGGGAAGAACTGGAGATTATGTTCAAAGGTTGTTGCTCGCCAGCATCAACACGTCGACCACCAGCGTTCTCATCGCCCCGAAGCCCGATGCGATGAGCTAGGGGTAGAAGTCCTCGTATGCTCTTCCAAAGTCTGCGGCTGGCTGTTCCCTGGCGAGAGAAGCACTTGACGAGCTCCACAGCGGCCAGGAAGCTGTCTCTACATGGCTCGGCAAATATTCTAGTGCCATGACAGACGGCAAGAAAGATGACCGCCAAAGAGCTCAACAGAAAATAGTTGAACGCGCTCTGCTGCCGTTCGTAAATATCGCTCGTTTCGCTCAGATGAACCAAGACAGATATGCTATCAATGGCAATATCCACGACAAGCCGGGCTTTCTCGACATCAGCTTCAATGCTTGCGGAGCTAATGACATGATGTCGATGTATCAGAGTTCTTATGTGATTGCCCCGCAAGTACAAGAGGGCTCGCAGCCGGCGGATGGAGCGGGGCTGGGCTGTCGGTATGCTACCATGTTGCGGATGGCGTAATTGAAGATCAGGGGGTATTGAGTTGAGCCAAGTTTGCGCTGTGAAGTCAAGGAATGCAACCGTGTCTTTCGGGATCGACTGAGATGGTGCGCTGAATGGTGGTAAAGCGTCCCATGCCTTAGAGCATAAACGTCCATAACCTATCAAACAACGAAGGTACTGGAAATCTTCAGACTAAGACTCAGGTTAGCCAAGTTACTTTCCGTGTACAGGTAAGAAGACTCACTGGCTCAGGCAAGTTTGGATCGATATCTCGGTCAAAGAGGGCAAAGGATAGACTGGTTCCGAAACTCCAGCGACGGTCCAATACGTAGACGCACCAGAACACCCGCACTGCTAGACTCCGCGTCTTGGGGTCTGGAAAATTGTCTGTGAGACTCAGGTTTTGGTGCAAGCCCATCTCTAAAGATGCTCGCGCTGCAATGCCGATGTTTCTCCATGCGAGTAGCTCTTCATCTGAGAAAAAGTAGTAAATACTCTTTCATCATGTCAGCCACTTCTGCTAGCAGGGTAACGAGTCTGTCGGACTTACAATCATAGCCATAATTTGAATCACTTTGAGATCAGCCTCCGCATCGAGCGTAAGCTGGTAGATCAGGTGTTTGACAGGTTCAACTAGCTTGCTGCTTGATTGGTTCTTTCCATGTGCCTCAACCACCATGCTTATGGCGATAGCTACTTTTGCAAGTATAACATCTTTGATGTCTACACTTCCGCCTGTTATGGCGCCAGGCATCATATAATCCGTGTTTGCTTCCACGTACGCACGGATATCCGCTGCTTTCGAAATCATCTCGCGCGTGTCAATGAAGGGGTAGACGATCTCAACCTCTTCTTCAAAAACTTCAAGAAGTCTCACAAAGTCTTCGAGCGGCATAGTGAGAAGGATATCTGTTCCAGGTGCCCACTGTGGGGGTTCGGACTGTTCGGGAGTTGGGTATCGGGTCGGCGCGATAGACTCACTAACCGCCGTCGTGACGGGGTCGTGAGCCGAGATCCCCATCCTCGTTAATGAAGTTTCAGCAACCTTGAGACTGAAAGCTGATCTGGTGGGCCCCACGAATTGTGGTTGCTTCGGTTCTTGTTCTCCCTGGACAGAAGAGTTGTCGTGAAGAGACATCTGTTGCTGAGATCCGGGAGAAGCCGACGTTCCTTGACGATTCTTATCCGAGGCCAGCTTTCCTACGGTATTTGCGAGGGTTGCCACCTGCTCTCTGAGCATGGAAAGCTCGCTCCGAAGATCAGTACTTGGCTGGCTGTTAGTTTGAATTAGCATATGAACAGAGCATTTCAAGCGTACTTGAACGAGGAGATTTACTGACCTATTTTGCCTCGACTTTCTCCTACTTCTGACCCTTTCCCTTACACCAGTCCCGCCTTCTTGTGAAGGAGCTGGGCCAAATGTGCACGGGACGCCGCCTGACATGCATCTCTGGCATTCTTCCTCATTTTCCAATCTGATGCACTTGAGTTTCCGCTTCTTGCACTCGGTGCTATTGCAAGGTAAGCTTCCGGTTATTGTTCCATGAGTTTCGGTTTTACCCACCAAGCAGCAGCTGCATATTTGGCACGCTTAGACCTCGTGGGATGCGTCGAGCCAGCCACCGACCTCCTGCGACCCCCCGACGTCGTCGTTGGAGACTGCGCTTCTTCATTGCCTGAGAAATCAAAGTCCTCTTCTTCTCCCGTCATGCTGAGGGTGTTTGCGGATTGTGAGATGAGTCGCAGAAACGAGAGAATATCTGGCTAGGAGGTTGGCCACGGTTAGAGTTAAAAGCAGTTGCGCTGCACCGCGACTCGACAGGCTGGGGGGAAGAGTGGGGGTTAAGTACGAAGTGTGCTACCCCCGAATACCGACTGGGATCCGGGCTCCGGCACATTTCCCCGCATGTGCTACCCGCACCCGCCTTGCTTCGTGGGGTTTGGTGAGCCACCAATATTGCTGCAATTACTCAGTGACAGTCTCCGTTTGTTGTGCGCAACTACAAAGACTTTGGAAACTTGCAGGAGGATGTTGTTATTCAATTAGGAAAACTGATAACGCCTGTATGAATTGGATAGGAAATTTGGACTGAGGGGCTCACAGGTACTTACCATCCATTATTGCACACTACACTGCTCCAGCGATATTTCTCCCCCATTAAGCTGCCACGGAACGGTTCCGAAGTCATAAGCTGCACACTACCAGTCGCATTTGGCCTTTTTCTTCACAACGAGCAATTCCTACAACTGCAATACTTCAAACCACAATTTGGAATTTATTTGACTACCTCAACAACTGTGATCAGCTAAACTATGCTTACTTGGGTAAGCTGAATGCGGGGAGCAAGTAAGGGAAATCGAGCAATGTCTAGTCGACATAAAACCTCATATATAGGTCAAGTTGAAATACAAAGAGTCCATTCTAACGTCGCTGGACCAGGGTTCATAATCGAAATTTCTGTGGCCACGTTTGGAGAAGAACTAAGGAACAGGTGGGCGAAAATCTTCGATTCAGCGTCAAGAGAAACCAGGAAATGACAGCATATTTCACCCTGCACGTTCTAAGTGTCTTCAGGATACGGAATCGTGTCAAATGTAACGCACGCCTTACTTTTTATTACAGTGGCGATGAGTTTCTAAGGACATTTGACAAAAAGTCTTTGGCAGCGTTGCATGTATGTGGAGGCATTCGCACATCGTCATAAAGAAGCATACGATAGTAAGATAAGCCTACTTCCGAGTTGCCGGACGTCAACATGCATCAACTCAAGTAGGAAGAAGTTGTAATAAATCACAAAAATTTCGACCGTCCTGAATGAATGGAAGAAAAAGCTATGCAATTGAGGAACAGCCTAGAAATAGCTGCCTGGGATTTGAGAATTATAGAATAAAAAGGAACCACATCTTGCGCACATAGTCTGTAACTCGTGCAATATCGTCCAATGACCACGGTACCTGTCCCAAATATTGCTGCTTAAGCACGAACCGATCTAAGTCTGACGCGAATGTCTGCGTCTATCTCAGGGGTCAGGCCCCCTCGTTATGCTGTACTTCTCGTCGTATATTTTGCGCTGTTCAAGTTCGGCCACCGTGAGTAGATTATCGCCTTTCCCACCGTTGAATGTGTAGAGAAGACAGCCGACTTGCGTTGCGCCCCCAACGCCACCGTTGTTACCTGTAAAATACCTGATTAGCCCAGTCCTAAATATTATGGCGATTGATTCCGATGTTACTAGTTGACTTAAGGAGATTGAAATCCAGTGATTTTGTGATCCAAAACAGCTTACACTTCTTGAAATTGTCGTTCATGATGGATGCACATGACGGCTTTCCTTCCTTGCTGAGCAGCGGATCATCGACCCTTTGCGCACCAAATGCGGTTCTACAGCCAGCCACCCATTGGACGTAAAAGTCGTAGTTGACCTTCCAGTTGTCCTTCCATCTGTAGCGTGACCTGAAGACAATCGGGTAATGGTTCTCCGCCGGGTCATGGTAGGTCGTGAAGATTCGCTTGCCTTGGTCGCTGGCGCAGAAACTCAAACTTGCTTCCCATTGCATGCTGGGATTGATGTCAGCGTGGCCCGCGAAGTCGGCTTCGTTGTGACATTGGACGTCGTGGGCTGCCCAGGGCAGTTTCTCTCTTCCTTGCTCGTCGAGAGATCTCGGGTCGATGGTCGTATCTATTGGGACTGCATGGCCTGTGACTAGGCCTACGGCCAGGGCACAGATAATCAGGGAGAGAGTAGAGCCGTACATTACGGTGTTACGTGCAAACGAGCGATCCGATGCGAGAGATTGAGTTATGGAAGAAAGAGTGTTCTCGATGAAACTAAGATTGATTTCAATGTGTCGTTGGTCTCGTTTATATCTATTTCCTCAGCCCATCTAGATGGTTAGTTCAGTGGTAGGACAGGAAGATAAACAAAGGAAGAATAGGACCAGAGATACCAGACCACTCTGCTGCCAGTGTCATTCAGAAACCGTTTGCAAGGACGCCGCGGCGAGGTCGGTGCTCACGATCATTCAATGACACGAAGAGACAAAGAGCTCAATTGATCGCATCAACCGGTTTTGGCACTTTAAGATCAAAAGTTCCCATTTTCCCGCTCCCTTGAATCTTAGCCGCCGTACTGAATCTCGTATAGAGCAAGCAATCATGGAGTGGTAACGCTTGGGAGTCGGGACATCTATGAGTGTGACCTCAAGCACAAGTTTAAGAAGTGATAACATGCACTCAACCTTCAAAACGAGATCGAATTGTGTTTATAGTGATGCGATAGCCCCACTAGAACTGGGACATCCTTTCTCAACTTCCTTACGCAGGTATGCAAGCAACCACTTCTGCGCCTATCAGTACTTGAATGCAAACTTAAACCCCGAGGTCTATCTTATGATGAAGTAGGTCTTTGTTGCAGTTCACCTATAGTAAGTACACAAGGAGTCGTTGGTTGCGATGAAGGGACGCGTGATGTGAGCATCACAATACCAACATCTACTCGATTGTCAGGCTCTACGATGCAAGTACCAAAGAATGGCTTCATAAACAGCAAACCCGGCAACGATCAACAATCAACATTATTTTTCTCGAGGGTTCTCCGCTGCATCTGTTTGAATCAAATTCTAGGCCATGAACCGTGAGCACCTGATGACCGGCGGTCAAATCTACGTTCAAAGCTCCCAGATCAGCCCCTGCCAAGGGACCGACTCGCAGCCAGGCTGATCGATCATCCGTTCTTTGGCCCCATAAGTCCACCCTCTGCTTCTAGATCTCAGAACGATGGGCTAGGCATAATGCTGCAGTGACATCAGCCCGATGGAGAGAATGGAGCTGAAGCGACGGAAGCCGCGCGGAATGAGACGACGTTCATGCTGTTTCCGTCCCGCATACCCATGCTGACCATGTGCAGCCACGCGAGATGCACAGATGCATGGATGCAACAGAAAGAGCAGGCATCTAGTGCAAATCAATGCGTGTTGCCGATCAGAAGAGGAAGTTACCTACAAAGTACGAGAAGTACGGAGCGGCTCGAGTCGGGAAGGCTTGAGTGTAGACTACGCCAAGTGCTACTCGGTGATGTTCACTATGTACAAGCACGAGTACGCAAACCGGTCAAGTGAGCCTAAGTCCTGTAACAAGTGGGAGGTCTCTGGAATCTCTTGACCTTTCGCGCACGAGAAATTCTACGAAATGCTGACTGGTCACGTCTTGTCGTCCTCATCTATCGTCATTGCCCAGCTTTCTTCGTCTAGCCAACGCGTGGGCCAGCGGGGGAATTGCTGTTTTGGAGAGCTACCAGACTCTTGGCTTTGATCAGATATTCTACCTACCTCGGCAAGCTAGACTGCACGTCGAGAAGATAGCGAGCCCCGGCTAACGTCAATTTGAAGCAGATCATATTTTCTCACTGTTGGCCGGCTCAAGAGGACTCCAACAGCAGACCCGAAGGTGAGGAACCTGGATGGACCAACACAACATTTGGAGAATGAGGTCTTGGCTGATAGGGTATGATTGTGAATACGACAGTACCTTCAGAACTAACTCGAGAGTCATGGATGGTTAATTATTTATGGAGGTGGAGACATCGAATCGGCTGTAGGCCTGGTGATGTTGGCCCAAAGTAATGGTTCTGGTCTCCTGCCATTTCAAGTCTAGCGAGGCTTGGACAGTTAAAGCGGGGGAGATAGTCAGGATGTCGGGTCAGTCGTTACGAACTGAGCAAGAAGTTGCGCTCTTTAATTGCAGGGAAGCGGCTCAATAGAAGTAATCGAGACAGTAACAGGCTAGTCAGCAGTAGTAGCTCACTGCGTGGAACAAAGTCGAGACTCAAATGTGTAGCGATCATCGTCTGACCTGTTCTGACAGCTTGTTTGACTGTCTCTCGTAGGTATTCTTAG